GACTCCCGCTCCTTCTTCTTCCTCTTCCTCGCTTTGCGTCCATAGGTGGCGATGGCGACGGGGCAGGTGCTGTTTCATCGGTTCTTCTATTCGAAGTCATTCGTCAAGCACAGCTTCGAGGTGAGCGCGGCAAGGGCTGGCAGGGAAGGAACGGGAGGGGACGAGGAGAGGGAAGGAGAAGTGGCGTTAGACTATGTCTGGGCCAGCCACATGCCGAATGGGCCGCTCTCTTTTAGCCTTTAGCTCACGAGTTATTTTCTGTTAGTTGTGTAATTCTACCCCTGTCGGGATTTAAAATAGTTTTCTCACGGAAACAGGGCTTTCTTTCAGATTGTTGCCATGGCCTGTATCAATCTTGCATCCAAAATCGAAGAGGCGCCTCGTCGTATAAGGGACGTGATCAACGTCTTTCATCACTTGCGTCAGTTAAGAGCAAAGAGGTAAGTTTAGCTTCTTTATGAATACTAGCATCCGTTTTCACTAATGTACACAGTATTTTTCAGTTCACAGTATTTTTCCAGGGTACGTTCAACGACCTAAAATTGAGAAGGGAGTGCTCGTTGGCTGCTCTGTAGGCAGTACAGTTCAATGTTCACTTCTGCCGTTACTTTTGTTCACTTGGTAGACCCAATTCTGTTCCTTTCTAGCCACAAGTCATGAGTGTCAGTTCTAGTTTTAGGTCTGTGGTTGTAGTTTTAGGTCTATTGCTGACTGATTTTTTTATGTTTTGTAGTTCTGGGAAGGTAGTCTTAGGTATGAGTAGCCAATTAGCGGGTTGATCTGTTTTCCAGACTTCTGCATTCAGTAGTCTTAATGTGTTTTTCTTGTTAGTATGTAGCTGTCCTAACCTGGTTATGGTGCCAGTAAAGTCTTAGTTAATAAAAGATGAAAGCTGATCTTTTCCTAGAGATGATAGTCTTGCCTTTTAGAACAAGCAATTTTAGAAAGTCCCTGAAAAACGGTATGATTTGGCCTACAGTGTTTGTAGCTGTACTGACACCACTTCAACAAGGACTGTGTAATTGAGTCTGGGAAGCTGAAGGCATCTTTCATTGCAAAGAGTGAGAGTCGTGGTGCTGTGTGCTCGTGTTGGTGGCGTTGGAGCGTGAGCTTCCCTGATAGGGGTGCAGATCTAGCTCGTCTGCAAAGCTGCTCTCCTTGTGAGCACCTAATGCCGCTTTTCTGTGTGTAAAGCCATGTATTTTGTTGTCTGCAACACAAATTAACCGGGCGTGTTGGAAGGAAGGGAAGGAGTTTTCGAAGCTGCTGTTAAATGCAAAATTTCTTTAAATCCATCCTGCAGCAGCATTCTAGTCTGTGAGATCCAAGACAGCTGCTGGGATGAAGTAGCTTTGCTTCCAGTGGCCGGTTGCTTACAGTGTAAGGTAATCCGTAGTTACAGAAGGCTTTTGTTTTCAGCTACATTCTTCAATTCACACTGTGCTCTGCATCACCAATTTATAGCAGGAATCTAAACTTGAGCGGTATGTAACCTTTTCCGAGGAGTGGCAGTCTCTTAGGAAAACCAGCTGTTTCTTCATGTCTTCATCCTGGTTATGCTTCTCCTGAAGCTAAAACTTCTGCTTTTACTGCCTCGTACTTGTTTTCATAGTTGGGTTTAGATAAAGATTCCTTGTTAATACTTTGGAATTTAGCTTTGTTCTTTTTTGGTTTTCAAAGTTGTTACCCCTGATGGCCCTGAGAGAATTTTGTGAAGTTATACCGAACGTGAGTTCAGTGGCGTTGTTTCTTCTCACAGTTAGGAAAAGGGCACCTGGTTATTTGAGTTATTGAAGCTGGCTTAGTGATTTGTAATATTTTGGCCTTGATCCAGGCAGGGAAGGTTAATTAATCATATGCGGTGCTTTTCTTTGCAAGGAGGATGCAAATTAGTTGTTTGTATGTGCTGCGTGAAGGATCAGAGAAGCTGAACGTAACCTGTGAACTTTTTCCAGCTAGCCTGTTCCAAATGAGAATGTCACTTGTGCATGTTACATGGTGTCTAAAATGCATCATGTTGAGAGAACTCGTGCACTTCTACCCAATATTTCCTGGAGAAATGGCTATTGTTGCTCTGAGATTCTGAGTGAATCTGCATGAAATTAATCTTAAAAATGCTGAAGTCTGACATTCAGACTGGCCTTTTTTTTTAACAAGCAGGATGTAAACATTTTTCTGTACTTTTTACAAGATAACAATTACATCATTTGTACACGTTATTAACTTCAACTCTTTTTTCCCTTGCAACCGACTATACAGCGACCAGCTACATTTACCAAAGCCTGGGTGATGTGGAGTGGTACATAAAGATGAAGCTGTCGTCATGGCAACAGTGAGTGAAGTATCGAAAATCCCCAAGGAGAAGCCAGTGCTCTGAGAATAGGTCACTGGAATCGGGGGACTAACAGGTTGGCCGCTGGTGAACCATTTGGAAGAACTCCTGTATCTTGTTATAAGCTTTTTTCTTTGCTGTCCAGGATTTTAGAATACTAGCGTAATCTTTATTTTAATTTTTTTTTATCTGAAGCTAACACTTAGGCTGTAGTTAGTTTCTCACACACAACCCAGAACTGAAACAAGCAGTTAGGCTGCTGTAATTCTTTTTGCCTCTAGTATAGTATTTCTGTTAACTGAAGCTCTTAACCTGCACATGAAGTTTGAGTAGTTTGAGTAGGCTTGCTTGCTTTCTCCAACAGTTTTGGGTTCCTAGTTCCACTTTCTGGTTCTGTATAATTGCAGTTTGAATTCATAGTAAAACGTGTCTTCACAGGGATACAGAAGTCTTGAATTTGTAAAGCTGTTTATATAAATGATGATGTAAGCAGTCCCTTCTATGTACGTGTTTGCAGAACTGGGAATTGCATTGGAATTGTTTTTTTGTAAGACCTGTAGTCAACAGAGTTGCTGCTAGTTGGTATTTCTAATGCTGAGAAGTAAGAAAAAAAGCTAAAAAAGTGTTTGGACAAGCTTATTTTCTTTTGGATCTTTCACGAGCATATGTCATGTAGTACTGCATGTAAAAATGTTTGTGTGCATGGAGAAAAGCTCGTATTATGAAAATCCTGCTTTTAAAAAACTGTGCCTAAACATCTGTGTTCTGAGCGAAGTGCAACTACTGTTTTAACATGTAGAATGTAGTTTGAATTTGATTTTATTTATCTTAAATGTGCCTGAAAGCTGCAGAAAGTCCTTATGAGACTGGAACCAAATGTGACTCCTGTCATGGTGGAATCTCACAAATGTTGGTTTGAGATGCTCAGCTGTGTTTTTACTTCTGTTGCAGCAAACAGGTTCACGCAGTTGGGTTGGAAGTGGCCTGTATTAATAACACACCCTCCTTAGAGGTCCTCAAGCTGTGCTGTAAACCTGCAGTGCTTGTATTTGCCATGGGGGAGACAAATGGAGAACTGGCTTTCCCCTCCCTCACAGAGGGGTGTGAGAGGGATCTGAGACAAGATGCTGACATTGCGCTGCACTCTTCAGGAGTACTTTTTGCATAATGAACAAGAATACTCAAAGGGCACTTCTCCAAAGTGTTAGACACTCCAAAGGCATTAGATTTTAATATTGCATCAAATGAAGCTCTAGCTGTATCAAGAACTTAGGTTTCACTTGTCGTTTTTTAAAAAAACCCAAACAGATATTTGTTATCCTTTTACTGTTACAAACACATAACAGTGTTGCATTGGTCTTCTGGGGTGTGACAGGGTCTCTAAGTCCTGATGAAGTTCTGTGTCTGAGTGCTGGATGGACTTAACCAGAACGGGCACTGGGTGCTGTCTGTTTTAGTGAAGTTTTTAGCCTGGAGCTCTGGTGCAGAGAATTTGTAAAACAACTGGGCTGTGTAGGGCTTGAAGCTTGTATTTCATATGTAAGCTTACAAATTAGTTTTCTCTGGTTTGTTATGTGAACGTAAAATGTTTACTTGGGCTGAGAACTAAGTGCAGCAAATGCAGTAGCAAAGTTCTTTTCTCTGGGTAGAAAAGCTAAGAAGTTTTCCAAAGGGAGATGTCTGAAGTTGCCAACTTCTAAACAGTTATGCATACCAACACCTGGGAGTTTGTGGCGAAAGTACTAATTGGTAAATCTCAATACATTGGGGAACCTGGCTCTTGCCAGGCTCATATTTTTGCCAAAGTGCCTAAAAAGCTGCATTTGTTTGTGTCTCTGGATGTACTGCTGTTTTTATGGCTTCCTTAGATCTGTAGACCTCTAGAAATTGTGTCATAAGTGACCAGAGTAATGTGTTTGAACAGAGTAAAGCACACTTTAGAGTATCTTAAATCTGAGCTTCCTCTTGCTTTGCTATTGAACTTGCACAACCAAACTGTTGGTGCTGATCCTGTGGCCCTGTAGAAGGGCAGTGAAAATTTAAACTGCAGTAAGGCTCATGATTTTTCCTGTTGCACTTCGAGTTACCTTGTTGTGTTTTCATAATACTGACTTTCTTACATGTCTTTGCACTCTCTGAAAGCTATGTGGAAGATAGTAGGAATCCTGTCAGTTGGATGAATGAGCCCATGTTGTCCTGCTGTTGATACTTTTTTTTTTGTAGACTGGAAGTCCTAACTGCCCAAACTGTTTGATCCAAGATTTGTCACCTGAAGTGGAGTGACTAACAGGATAAGCTGAGCCTGGACACCTAAATGTGCTCTGAGTGATGCCTTGCAGATCCTGTTAATATCAGTGGTCTCTAGGTAAAATGGTGTAAAGCTATATTGGAGGAAGTGTTGTTACAAAACCCAGGATATTTGCTTGAAATCACTTGGCAGTGAATTGGTTTCAGTGATTTGAAGAACTTCAGCTTGGTTCTTCCAGCCTCCCACTCCAGAGCGGTGTGTTCAGACAGCCTTTGTAGTGCTGGAGTGTTCAGAGAGAACTGTAGGATCTGTACTGAAGCAGTTTTAAAAGAGGTACAGAAGCTTTCACAACTCTTCTAGTTAATTTATGGAGGAAAAAATAAACCAGAATTGCATTGTGACTGGGTAATATTTAGAATAGCTGAAATGACAAACTTGGTAGATTTGCCCTGATGAGTAACAGAGTAAATAACTCCCAACTAGAGACGTTACTGTTGTGTAACACAGAAAACATTGTGTTTTTTAGGAGACAGAAAGTAGCAAGGTTTGTCCTTGAGCTGTAGGTCCTGGCACTGAAAAGCTCCAGTGCCTCATTTCAGGCCTCCCTGGAGCTGCTTCTCAGCCCCTGGGGAAAAAGCAGGGGCACTTCCCGTTCATGCTGTGGTTGCTCCACGTGACACTTGTTAGTGCGGTGGTGGCTTGTTGCAGCTTTGGCCAGCGGCAGGGAGCATCCTCCCAGGTGACTGCAGGAGTCTGGGTGTAAACTGGAGATTATTGAAGTGTGGAGGGCCTTCAGCTTGCCTTCTAATTAAATCGACCCTTTCTTCCCTGGGGTGGAAACCTCAGGGGTTTTTAGTGGTGGGGTTTTTTTCCCCCTTACTCTGACCTATCAGGGAAGAGTGATCCACTTGTAGAATTTGGCATGGAATCAAAAGAGACAACTTTGTAGTGAAATACTGTCTGATAAAACAGAAGCTGTATTTGGAAACCCCTTTGCATTATTTGTTTTTCTACTGAAGGTTGTCTTAAAATAAATTTGTCATCAGTGGTTGGGGGGTGTACTAGATTTACCCTGTAAACAGGCTCTAGTTTATTGGGGTGTAACTAGCTAACCAAGAAAAAACATTGTGTTGGAGAGCGTGTGGAATATGTTAAGGCTTATTGCAAACAGGAAAAATCTTGTCTGTCTTCAGGAGGAAGTGGATTAAAATACACAATGTGGAATGTTGACAGGTTGGGTCAGAGCACAGACAAAAGATTATGAAGTGAAGCATGAGGCTTGTGCATAAAGCCAACAGCAAGTTGTTTTAGCAGAAATGCTTTGGAGACGTCAGGTGTTGGATTTGGAAGGAGTTAGGACTCGATAGTGCTAAACCTGGGCATTGTTCTCTGTGAAGCAAGCTCTGGGGTTGCAGGTGCAGTAGCAGAGACAAGAGTCGCTGGTTGGTGGGCACAGTGTTCAGATCCCAGGCAGGCCTGTTACCATTTCAGAGGGCACGTCCTTCACATCACTGGCTTTTTCTGTGCCACAGCAGCAGGGCTCTCTGCGGAGGTGAAGAATCTTGCCTTCCAGTGTGTAGGAAACCACAATTTCTAAAGCACATGCTTGTATCAGTATCAGTAAAAAAACCTGTTGTAGCTTACTTGTGCTTTGAAGTCCTGCTCAGCAAAGGTAGTTGTTTCACTCTCCTTCCCCCACCTCTGTCTTGCAGTGTTAAGGTTCTTTCAGAACTTCACTGTGAAGTTCCAGCAGCTGGACCAGTGTAGTTTGCATACACAGTAGCAAAAGATTATTTCTTTATCTTAGCCATCAGATCTGCAGCTAGTCAAAAGCAGGAACTAAACTAGTTTATCTAAACTTGGACAGCACAAGATTAATGCTTAAACTTGCTTGCAGGAGTTGAAAAACGGTTTCTGTTGCCATTAGTTGGTTGGAAGGGAAAACAGAGATGCCGCTGTTTTTGGATATGCAAAACAGTTTTGATTTTATTTCTTGCAAACTGTAGGACTCCAAGCCCCCTGATACTTGATCAGAACTACATAAACACCAAAAATCAAGTAATCAAGGCAGAAAGGAGGGTACTGAAGGAATTGGGATTTTGTGTTCATGTCAAGCATCCACATAAGGTGAGTTGTCAAAAATAACGATGGTAAATATTATTCTGCCTTAATAATATCATTGTGAGCTGTGGAATGAGAAAAGCAGTTGTAAAAGTGACCTGATTTCTTCTCCTAGTAGTTACACTGCTTTTGCTGGAGCTCTTGGGCAAATAGCCACAGTGACTTTGCTTCTTGGCGAATGTTAAGGGGGATTGGGTTTGAAAATCATACAAAAGTAGTAAAATAATTGTTGGAATGTGACTGACTGGGTGACGTGCGAGCTTGCAGCATGTGCTCAGAAAAGGAGGAGAGACTTGGTTTGGAATGCTGTTTGGCTGTATAAAGTTCCTTGCTGTTGCTTTATATATTAAAACTGAGTTTTGTTGTTTTTTTTCCCCCCCCCTTATTCTGCAGATCATTGTTATGTATTTACAAGTCTTAGAATGTGAACGTAATCAAACCCTGGTACAGACAGCCTGGTAAGTTATTTTCCATTCTTTTTCTAGCCAGGAAAATAGTAGCAGAAATAACAAGCCTGATGCAAAGCAAATGAGATGTAAGTTATTACACAAATATGTGCTTTTAAAATATTTTAGTGCTTGTTTCTGCTTACTATTTTCGTGGCTTGATTCCAACCTAGTAATGGAGAACTCAATTTAACTTTGTTCTTTTTTCTACTCTTTAATTAAAGGGTAGTCCCTGATGGTAAGTCATAGAGCTCTGCCCTCTGCACCTCAGCCCATGGCCTGTTTGGCTGCCCTTCCTCCAGTGCAAGCTCTCATCCGAGATTCACTGAAGTGGTCCATGTCCATCGGGCAGCATCTTCTAGTTCTGGCGGGGTGTCCAAAGGATTTGTATATTTGCTTTTAGAAGTAACTGTTGAAAATGTTTCTCAATGTCTTTGTTGCCTAGCTACTGTATACTGTAGTGTATTTAAAGGACACACGGGGTAGACGTTCTGCCAACATTTATGTAGTTGATTTAGTATTTGGCTAAAATTGAGGGTTTTTTTAAAAAAGAGAATTGCGGTGCATGCAGCATGTTCACTTAGCAGCCAAGTTGGGCATGGTTCTCTGGAGAGTCAGTACTTGATGACTGCTGTTCCTTTCCCTCCTGTAGCGCAGGAAGGCAGAAACCGATGGAGGTCTCTGCTGTGTCACCACCTCTTGGCACGTGTTGCTTGGCGGTGCCACCGAGGTGGGAGGACAGTAGCGTAGGGGAGCGGGAGACCCGCTGCCGACGTGCAAGGCTTTCTCCAGCACTCAGGGAGCAGATGGGATGCTTCTCTAATTGAGCTCAGTGTGACTCCAGGCACACGGAGCACTTAAATGCAATGTTCGATCAACTTCATAGGTTGCATCCAGCCTCTGCAGAATGGTAGGTGAAAACTGTGCCTTGCCTTTATGCTTGCATTTCAGTTTTAAGCGTATTGATAATTTAAATATAAGAAAATGGGTGTTCAGACAGCTGGACAGATGCAAAGTACTTGGTAGATGAACTCGGTGGACACTCCATGGCATAACAGAATGCACCCACCTGGGAAGTAGCTGTTACCTGCTGTTCCTGGTGTTGGGGTTTCAAACACGGCAGTGTTGTTAACAGAAGTAACAAATGTAAACGGCAAATACAATAATTTGAAAGAAACCAAGCATTTACTATAATGACAGAAAAAATAATAAAGTCAATTGAGTCTCCAGTATTGTTGTCATCTAAATAAGATGTAAACCCAAGATCAAACCTGTCCTAAATTATTTTTTTAGGAATTACATGAATGACAGCCTTCGAACAAACGTGTTTGTTCGCTTTCAGCCAGAGACTATAGCGTGTGCTTGCATTTACCTCGCTGCTCGAGCTCTGCAGGTGAGTGGTCACCTGTCTTTAGCCAGCGTTGCCTTTAAATCCAGATGACTAGCCATTCAAGGAAATGAGCAAAAATACCCTGAAAGCCTGGTCTGCAGTGTCTGTAACGAAGCTTTTCTTTGTTTTGTTTCCAGATCCCACTGCCTACCCGTCCTCACTGGTTCTTGCTCTTTGGCACCACAGAAGAGGAGATTCAGGAGATCTGCTTAACAACTCTTAAGCTCTATACCCGAAAGAAGGTAACTTGGAGATGTTTGTTCTTCTGTGGGGTGTTCAGTGCAGCCTGAGCTGCCTTATGATTGTCCAAACATGTCTGGGAACTCAAAGGTACAAATGGCTCCTCTGAGGGAGGAACAAATTATGGAAGTTAGCCACATTACTGGGCAGATGACTAAAAGAGAATGGAATACTCAAAAATGAGATTAAAATATCAAGTACATTAGTTCAGCTTCTTACCACACTCTTATTTTAACAGCCCAATTATGAATTCCTGGATAAAGAAGTAGAAAAGAGGAAAATGGCACTACAGGAAGCTAAACTGAAGGCAAAAGGTTTAAATCCAGATGGAACTCCAGCACTCTCTACACTGGGTGGCTTTTCTCCCGCATCCAAACCATGTAAGTTTGTTTTCTGAACAGAAACTTGCATAGTACTGTTTGATAAGTCTTCTAAATTTTTGTCCCAAGGTGTTAAAAAAAAAAAAAAGGTTTGCTTCATGAGCTGTTTAGATAGACAATTTAGGCTTTCTTATGGGACTAAGGAGTGAGACAAATCTTTCTAAGAATTTAAAACCGGTTTCAATCCCTTGAAAGAGCAGATTAGAGGGAAAAGGGATGATTGGCTCCATACTGCCACAGATGGGAGAGGGATTTATTAATAATACCCTTAAGATAATGATGAGGATGCCAAGATGCAGGAGTTTGTGTGTTGCTGTGTTTTGAAGAGAGACTGGAGTTCATGTGTTGGGAGGTGTCACCGTAGCATTCATGGTTCCTTTTGCAGCAAGTGACTCTGCAAATTGCTTTCTATGCTTTTTTTTTAATGTGCTTGTCAACTGCTCAAGTGTGGTGGAGGAAGGCAGCCTGTGGTCAGGAAATGGAGAAGGGAAGGTCGCACACGGTGCTCTCTTGGCATTAGGGTGAATCAATGGCTGGAACACGTGTCTTGAACCGGCTGATAAATCTGTCTGAACTCTCATGATACCAAGAACAAGCAGTTTTGTCATGGTGCGTTCACCTCTTCATGCTGCTGTTGGTCTCTGAACTACCAATGAAACTTAAATGGTATCGTGAGTCCAGAGATGGTGGGTGAAGCAGAAGGCCCTTGTTTGTTACATGGCCGCTTCAGGAGAAATAACTGCTACAGATTTGTTCTTCAGAACAATCCATCTGAGTTCCAAGCTGTCCTGGAGCTGGCGAGTGTAAGCGTCTCACTAGACAGTGGAAGCTTTTCTTATTTCTGGGGTGGGAGCCTGGGCTAGGAGAGTCTGAGTGGAGGCAGGGCTGCTGGTGGAGCTCTGGAGGCTGCCTTGCTAGCTGACACAGCGAGGGAAGGCTGCAGATGGAGCCCTGCCTTTGTGTTCTACATTACAGCCCTGCGCCCTGTTGAGTGAGGAGGGTGTGGTGCGAGCACAGCACCTCTGCCTGTCAGCAGGCCAGGTCTGAATGTGCCATACTTGCCCAGCAGCCCCTCCATGAAGAGGCAGATCCAGCTCTGGGCTTTAAGCTGGCTGTAGAGACAGCTTGGCTTGTAAACTCCCTCTGGGTTTCATTACTTGTTGTGTTGGTACCGCTGGTATAAAGCAAAAGCTGTGATTCTGCTGTTCAGCCTTAATCCTCTCTGTAGCATTAGGAGTGAGCTGTCAAGGTACCCAGTTACGTACTGTGGGCTGTAAGGGCAGCTTTTACTGTGCTCCCCGGTGGGTGAAACCTCAGCAGGGCCTGGCAGCTCGGTGTGAAGGTCACGGTGTTCTCCCTGCACTTGGCTCTGCACTGCTCTGCGTCCTCAGGGGCGTCTCGCTCCAGGGTGCTCTTCCAGGAGCCTGCTATAAATGGAAAGGTGGAATGAAGTGGCAGCCACCAAGTTCATACTTCGGTGCAAATACTGGTGAGGGTGGTGCATAAAGGATACTATATGTTTATGGCAAAATCTGTGAATAAAATAGCTGATTTTGAATTTAAATTCAATTCTCAGCTTCTCCGAGAGAAGTAAAAACTGAGGAGAAGACTCCAGTATCTGTGAACACCAAAACCATTAAAAAGGAGCCAGAAGAGAGACAGCAAACATCAAAGAGCCCTTACAATGGGTAGGTAAAAATCTCTTCCTGACCAAGAGAAGATTTGTTTCAAAAAAAAAAAAGGTGCTTCAGCTGAAGTGCAGTGAACCACTTTTGAGCTACTTCATGGCAAGAATGAGTACCTCAGAGTTGTAACCCTGTTTATTTTTTTTCTCCCCCCGAAGGATGAGAAAAGAAAGCAAGGGAAGCAGAAGCAGCAGAAGTGCTAGTCGGTCTAGGTCACGAACAAAGTCACGGTCTCGGTCTCACACTCCCAGGCGGCAGTAAGTGGTGGGTTTTTGGGGGGGGAGGGGGGTCCTGTGTGTTGTCTTTGTCATATTTAGTCTCTTGGGATGTTTAAACAGAGAGGGGATTTTCCCTTCTAAGTAGCAGCACCACTCCAAGTCACTTGTAGGTACTTAATGCAAGTGCCCCAGGAGCCCATACCATGTGTCGCAGCTCTCTTCCAGATGGTTGGGAGAATGTATCTTCCGCCAGTGTTGCGAGGGGCACTGTCTGGCTCTGGAGTGCTCTGCCTCTGGCTGGGGAGGAGCAGGAGCTCTGCGGGGTGATGTCGTGATAGCTGCTGGATTTCTATAGATGGATGTCAGCCTGAAAATTCTTTAATTATATATCTAAGTTGGAAGCTGCCAGCTTGGGGCTGAGTGAAGTGTTCCCTTATTGTTGACTGTCAGATTGCAGGAGGAAAAAAAGGCAAGAGCCAGTTTGCAACCTGTCGTTGAGGGGAAAAGTCTTGGCCAGGTGGAACAGATGCAAAAGGCACCACATTGTGGGTTGGGTTTAGGCTTTTTCTTAGAGGAGCTCAGAGGCAAGTTTTGGGATGGTCTCCCTGTGGGAGAAGCAGCCTCATTTCTTGCAGTAACTTGAACAAAACTCGTAATCATTGATTTACTGTCATTTTCTTGCGTGTGGAAGACGTGTTGTAACCTCTAACGCTTCTG